CTCAATTAAATGTTCTATGAATTCAAATCAAATAAAATGAGATTTTGTTTGGTAAGCTTAATTTTTGACTCATTGTCAAAATGCAAAACCATTAAATCCCATTAAAATACTTCAATATTTGTTGATATAAAAATTCTTTACGTCAATGACAGCTTTTGTGTTCCGTTTCTCAACCGTATCTTTAAGCGTATAATAGCGAGCTTTAATATCTGTCGCATTTATATAAAATAAATATCTGTGAAATGTAAGCGCCTGGTTGAAGGGCTTCCCCTACTTCTGCTGGTGTCCTATGTTCTTTTCCGGATGCACTCTTAAAATTAAAACTGCCATTGTGCGTGACTGTCTAGACCCCGCATTTATTTGCCAGTCGAGCTGCAGTAAACAAAGGAGATGACAGCGGCAAAGGCTGAAGCATTAACAACAACGGCCGCAAACAATGCGCAACAATATCCACATCCTTAACGGCCTGTCGTGCACTGTACGCAGCGGCATCAGCTGGATGAGGCGGATCCAGAAGGGCCTGCCAAAAGGCCCCTGCTCGTATTTAAAGCGACACTCGAGCTGTTTCCCCTCATAACTCGCATAAATCATTGCTCTTTTCGGGTCCGTGTAATGAAAGTGCTTAACAGCTACTCGAGATCTGAACAGGAACAGAAACACAGAAACAGTCACGGAAACAGAAGCCTCAGTGTAAAGCCACTTCAAGCGAATTACATGACTTACCACTCCATGGATGCCCGGGAAGAAGAACAAGAGCTCCTTCAACTCCATCTCCTCAAAAGCAAAGGGGATTCCAGTTCCATCAAACCGAAATCATATGACACCGACAGCGACAACCCAATCTTATTCCAGAATCTGAATCAGAGGAGGAACCATGACTTGTGGCTTACCTTGGTGACTGTCAGGACAAATAAAACGGCTGCCCACATTCAAATTAGCACTTGTCGCCCGTTAAATCTTTCTCCGGGGAACTTCCAGTGGAGCAGATGCGACTGGCAGAAGGGCACTCAGAAAAATCAGGGAAAATTAAAATTACAATCTATTCTATCAAGGAAAAACACCTCTTAGGGAGTTAACAAAATAGTGACGATCGCATCTTCAACATACAAAAATTCTGATATTAACTTTTGTGACGAAAACGTATTAAACGATCCACTAAATAATTACCCTTCTGAAATTGTTCGTATTCGGCATGCTGCAATACAATATGCCTGAAAAAATGACGAGTAAGGAAAATGCGGCTATATATAAAAAGTGGACACTCCTCGCGCCCTCTCCCGTTGCGATTCGTCACTACGTGGAATACCGCCCACAGTAATTCAATTAAAATCGAACTGATTATAATTATTTAAGATAATATTTAAAAAAAACATTTATTTAAATATTATTATATTAAATTCATAATATATTAGTTAGTTGTAGGTTATATTTTCCCCTTTTCAAGTATTCTAAGTCAGCTAGGGAAATGAAAGCAAGTGTCATAAGGCCATAAGCAAAGTACTCGATATTTTTAGATATTGCTAAGTTTCTGAGCTTACTTAATGATTGATTGCTTTTTCCGGGAATAAAATTTTTGAATCGCACGCAGTCATTCATTAAAAATGAAATTCTTAGGCAGTGATTGTATTATTGTGGAAATTATTATTTAAAGCAAAGGCAACTTCAGTTTCGGGTCTTGCAATAAAAATATAAATATATTTAAATATTTCCAGTGCAGTCCCACCAAAAGTTGGCTGAGCCACTTTATGCTTTTGATAAATCGTTCGAGTTGCGACGACTTTTCCACCAAGGTGCTTGGAACAATGTCTCAGCTTATAAATCTTGTTTGGTCTATCGCAAGATGTATGTGAAGTGCCAGACACGTGGAGCCAGGACTTTCCATTTTACTGCCCCAGGCGCAGTGTGTGTTTTTGATAAATTCTCCGCTCACTCTTTTGGCAGCCGGTCCACTGGCAAACCCATCCCCAAAACATTTTTCCTCAAAAAGATTTTTGGCATGAACAATGAAAAATGAAGCACGAGTCGAGTGCGTGGCACGCTAATTAGATGATAGTATTCTTTTTCAGGCAAACGACTGTTTACTATTATTATTTTCAATTGTCGACAGCGGTGTTAGATAGATACACAAATGCGGTTTGATAACAGTTCATACCCGAATTCGTGGAAATTGGTATTTTACTTTCAATGACCTTACGGACCACAAATTTAGTTATCAGCCTTGGCTCTATCAGTTCTGGGAACCGCCTTCGATTTCTGAGAATAGGCAAACGAGATTCCGTTGATTTATGGACATGTAATCGGTAGATTAAAATCCCTGCTGAAGTGGCTCTTAAAAGTGATCGCGTAAATCACTGGCTCCCCGAAAGAGCTGCCAGATTGTCGAGCGTCATGATTCAGCTGGGCCGAAATAAGGTGTTATATCACAAGTGGGTTCAGATAAGACTCGGTGTAGACAGACTTTCCGACCCCAAAGGGGGTGTGCTGGCTGGCTTATCAGGCGACAGGGAACTTGCTGATTGGAGTGCTATTTAACCTGGCAACCAAATACCGTAGCCTCGATGGATATGAGTCTTAGCCCTGTAGAAAGCCAATTAGATGAACATTTGCCTTGTCTTCTTGTTCGGCTTTTATCTAATCACAGTGCATTGCCAATTAGTGGTTAATTTTGGGTTGTTATGGATCTCTCAGCCGGGAAGCTGAACTATAAAAGGCCCTGCAACTTGCCAGAATCACTAGATTGAAAGTATTTCAAGTTCCAAAGATGCAGCTATTCACACAAGTTATCCTTTTGGCAGTTGCTCTGATCAGCGTGAGTTTTTAAGCTATCATTAAACAACTAAACCAACTTCGTCGCATTAGATTTTCCGGTGGATTTTATTTCACAGTATTATATTATCGCCTTGGTTCTTTAATGATAAGGGGATTTTTTTGACAGTATCACCTTATTTCTTATATAAAATAAAAGAAGCGGACAATACATTTTATCAAATCAGCTGTTATCGAATTATACTTTACTTACATATAATCATATTAAAGTTTTTATAAGAAAGCGGTTCCTCTTTGTTGGCAAATAATCAACTTACAATGATAAGGAAACTTATCTTCAAATTAACTGAACGTAAACAATTGGCTTTGCTTACAATATTTGTTTTTTGAACTGAAACTAAAAAACATTAGGAAGCATTGATTACATTCAAATAAATCCGGAAACAAGTTTAAGGTATCCCTATTTAAAGTAATAAGCCTAATTTGTTATTGCTTTGAAATATAAAGTTAAATAGGTTTTATATTGAAGGTTTAAATTAAAGGTCATGAACACTTAAGATTATCCTCCTACAATCTCAGGTCAGTGCCGTGCCACGTTTTGGAGAGGATTCGGGTATCGAGGGGGTCCTTTTCCGCATGGTCGTGGGTGAGGCTGAGGGACGTGCCCTGACTCCCGCTGCCCAGACTTGTGCCAGCAACTACCTGAACACCACCCAGAACAACGGCGACAAGCTGGCCAATGCCACCAATGCCTGCGAGGATGCAGCCAACCGCACCCAGGTGTCCTACACCCAGAACAGCAACTCCACCGTCAGCCAGATTCGCCTCCAGTTGTTGAACCTGGAGCAGAACCTACAGCTGTGCCGCAATGAGACCGACTCGACCCTCTTCCTCAACTGCACTGTGGCCACTGTAAGAATAGCCTGTGTGTTTTGTTTATTCAAATTCAGATCTAATCCAATATGTATTTCTTCAGTTCGACAGGAACCTGCAACTGCTGGACACCTCCAACTCTCAGGCCTACCAGACCCAGTCTCAGTTCGTCTCCAATGCCACCCAGGTGTCCTCCCAGAAGACCAGCTGCATCAGCTCCGCTGTGAGCGAGGCCAAGGTTCAATCCATCCAGGCAGCCAATGACTTCAACACCTGTCTGGACAAGATCGCCGCCCAGCGGGAGACTCCTCAGCAGCAGGTGCAGCAGCACCAGAGGGAGCAGCAGGTGGTTCCCACCATTCCCAAGGAACAGGTCCCTGAGAGGCCCCAGCAGCAGTTCAACGAGCTGCCTTTGACCAACTAAGTTCAGAGAGAATTAATCAACAATAAATTGTTTATCTTCATGAAGCTCGAGTTTTTTTCTTAAAAAATTAGATTAGGCCTGGAATGCTAAGATCCTAAAGAATACCATCTCCAGAAAAATATTTTAGCTTTTGAAAAGGTAACAAGCCATATTATAAAAAGATTTGCTATAAAAATCAATGGGCGTTCTGCATAAGAAGAAGAATGTTACTACAAGTTCGCATATGTCTGGCATCTTAAAAAGTTCTGAAAGAAAATCCTCGTACCCTTTAAAAATTAGATGACATACAAAGTAGCTGGTATTATTTTTTATGTTACATGATCAGTTTATTGATCAATTTTGACTACGTTCTTTATCCGGAGATGAATTTAAATTTCATAAAAAATTAACAACGTTTAAAATCTTGAAGTACCTACAATAAAAACAATTTTACCCTTTAAAAATCAGATAACATACAAAAGGTTCCAGAGAATTGTCGCATTTTTTATCAATTAAGACTCATAATGCCTGGTATAAATAGTATTGCTTTACATTATCACTTTATTGATCAACTTTCATTCGTTTTTTTCCTTGGAACTGTCACCGAAAAGTTTCCCTTGTTTTTAATGGCCTATCGGTGCCATCGAGCCCTCGAGAACATAAATCGCTGGAGTTTCCCAAACCCCTAAAGCGGTTAGTCACCCAGTCCGTCAGTTCGTCAACAGATTTCCTGCCACGCTTCACACCCAGTTCCGTATTCGCAGAGCTTTATCATGGTGACGGCACTGAGACTGCTCATCGTTATCATCAATTAGAATGCTTAAGACTTATCACCTGCCCGTCCGTTTTGCCGATTGTGCTGGGGCCCCCGAACAATTATAGATAAATGCAATTAATGAAGGCGGAATAAAAATAAAATATCAAAAATCAAGTGCCTGCCGCTTTAAAATGGTCACCTGCCAACGAAGCCAACTCAGAAGCATTTCGAGCCGCCAAGATGGAGGTTCTGTGCAAAATATTAGCCGTGTGCTTACTGCTCGTCGGTGCTCAGGTGAGAATGCCAAGTCCACAGAGAAGCAGCTTACATAATCTGGAAAACGAATCCCCCAGGCGTTCCCGGCAATTGAACCAGTCAAGAGCTCCAACGAGCTCACCTGGCAGTCCCTGTTCTTCGATGCTCTGACTGGAAACCTGCAGGAGCCCCAGGCTGATGAGCTCATCAACTTGGAAGAGTGCACTGCTCTCTACACGGTGGATAACATTGAGATTCTGTTGACGGCTAGCTACAAGATTCGTCTTTGCAACAATGTGGAGTCCAGGGATATCGAGAGATACTTGGAACGTCACGACGCCATCTACACGAAGCACAACTTCGAATGGGAGTTGCTTTCCTGCCACAACCGCGACTGCTACGTGGATACCGTAAGTTGTTAAAGTGGTTTAACTTTCCCCAGAAACTAAAGCTATGGATACCCTACCGAATAGGTTCTGAACCTGTTCAGCTCGGTTCGTCGTAACCGCTACGATCATCGTCGCCGCAGGGCCTGCATTCTCCGCGAGGTGGAGAGGGCAGCCATTAAGCTGGATGCTGCTTCCGTCGCTCTGGCTAACTGTCTTGCCCAGGCCCAGCCTCAGCCACAGCCCCCCCAGAACAGCACTGTGCCCCCTCCGCCCCAGAACACCACCGCCAGTGGACCTGGATTGAACAGCACTCAATGGCCCAATACCAACACCACCCCCAACTTTACCACAACTGCCCTCCCCCCATGGTGGGGAAACAGCTCTACCCAAGTTCCCTCGGAAAACACGACAGCTCTACCTCCATGGTGGGGCAACAGCACTACCAGCAGACCCTCGGGAAACACGACAGCTCTACCTCCATGGTGGGGAAACAACTCTACCCAAGTTCCCTCGGGAAACACCACAGATCTACCTCCATGGTGGGGAAACAACTCTACCCAAGTTCCCTCGGGAAACACGACAGCTCTACCTCCATGGTATGGCAACAGCACTACCAGCAGACCCTCGGGAAACACGACAGCTCTACCTCCTTGGTGGGGAAACAACTCAACCCAAGTTCCCTCGGGAAACACGACAGCTCTACCTCCATGGTATGGCAACAGCACTACCAGCAGACCCTCGGGAAACACGACAGCTCTACCTCCTTGGTGGGGAAACAACTCTACCCAAGTTCCCTCGGGAAACACGACAGCTCTACCTCCATGGTATGGCAACAGCACTACCAGCAGACCCTCGGGAAACACGACAGCTCTACCTCCTTGGTGGGGAAACAACTCTACCCAAGTTCCCTCGGGAAACACGACAGCTCTACCTCCATGGTGGGGAAACAACACTAGTGACGGACCATGGGGAAACAACTCTACCCAAGTTCTCTCGGGAAACACGACAGCTCTACCTCCATGGTGGGGCAACAACACTAGTGACGGACCATGGGGAAACAACTCTACCCAAGTTCCCTCGGGAAACACGACAGCTCTACCTCCATGGTGGGGAAACAACACTAGTGACGGACCATGGGGAAACAACTCTACCCAAGTTCCCTCGGGAAACACGACAGCTCTACCTCCATGGTGGGGCAACAACACTAGTGACGGACCATGGGGAAACAACTCTACCCAAGTTCCCTCGGGAAACACGACAGCTCTACCTCCATGGTGGGGAAACAACACTAGTGACGGACCATGGGGAAACAACTCTACCCAAGTTTCCTCGGGAAACACGACAGCTCTACCTCCATGGTGGGGCAACAACACTAGTGACGGACCATGGGGAAACAACTCTACCCAAGTGGGAAACACGACAGCTCTACCTCCATGGTGGGGAAACAACACTAGTAACGGACCATGGGGAAACAACTCTACCCAAGTTCCCTCGGGAAACACGACAGCTCTACCTCCATGGTGGGGCAACAACACTAGTGACGGACCATGGGGAAACAACTCTACCCAAGTGGGAAACACGACAGCTCTACCTCCATGGTGGGGAAACAACACTAGTAACGGACCATGGGGAAACAACTCTACCCAAGGACCCAACTGGTGGAACAGCACCACTCTTGGCCTCGTGAACAACACCACTGAGAATCCTTGGCTCGGAAACTCCACCCAGGGACCCTGGAACACCACCACCGCTGACGACAGGTCCACCACCCAGGGAAACTGGTTCGATCACCTGATGCACGAGCTTGGAAACCTCTTCTAGACCCGAAAATCCAGCCGAAGCACATCCCAACTGTTTGGGGGTTTGGTCAGTAGTCTAAGCTTTAGGCCAGCAAATAAATAAACTTATCAGCATTGAAAAGCTTTTGCGATTATGCTCGATTGGAGGGCCAATCAATGCGGGCGGGTTGATAAGTTGATAAGCCATCTCCTCCAATAAGAAGTTGGGGGCAGGGGCACCGCAAATTAGATGGAGACCGCAGCCACCCACTGGGATCCAGGATAAAGAGTCCCGGGCTCCGAGTCCGGACTGATTAAGATTTATTAGCCAGCTGCGGAGACCACGTGTCGCAGATGGCTGGGGGAAAATGATGGATTTCAGTGAGACGTCAGCAAAATATTGCCGATACTCCGGACGTGGCCTTGAGTTCTGGAAAGGGTGGCATATCCCTCCGGCTCGACGAAAAAACCCGCATACATAACGAGCTCCGAAGCTCCATAATTAGTTAGGATCTATCGATGTGGGCCTTCAGTAATGAGCTGTCTGCCTTTGTGTTGTTCTTCCAGCTAAACCAATAAAATAATCATGGATTAAGTAAACGTTATTGGTCAGGCAGAAATCACAGAGACACTCTGGCAAAGGAGTCGAGCCGCCGGCCAAAGGTTGAATAATTGCAGGGGGCTGACATTTGCATAACCTCCTGTCTGCCAGTCGAACTGTCCTACGGTGGTGGTGGTGGTGGTGCCAGGGAGGGCCCACTGTGGTCCTGCCACACAAAGGGAGCCTGACCTAAACAATGGAAGTATGCGCAAAACTTTTAACCTCAGCGCCAGTAGATAAATCAACCTGGATCATCACCCACAGCATTCGTTGTCAGCACACACCTTCATTGTGTGTCCTGCGAAGGGTAAATCCCCGCCAGACACAACTGCACTGGGCCAAAAGAAAGCTACATGAGGTGGTAACTTGTATTTGATTGAGGGGAAAATGTAAATTAAATGAGTTAAGGAATAACCAAGATACAATAGCAAAAACGTCAAATATTTGGTTTTAATACTCAATATTCAGAAAAAAAACATAATAAGATCAATATTAAATTGGTAACTTTATTAAGTATTATTAATTTCTCTTGAAAATTGTGTCTTTCTCTCAAAGATAGGGAAATGAGCGATATAGCGCCTAAAATTACTCAATATGTGTTATCCAAAATAGATAAATAGAGCAAAAATCAAGATGGCAACAAAGTATCATTAATTTCTTTTAAAAATTCTGTGTCCCACAAAGAGAGAGAAAAGAGCGAGATAGCGCCTAAACTACTCTCTGTAAGAGCAAGACAACAATAGTTAAGGCTCTCCAAAATAGAAAAAGAGAGTAAAAATCAAGATGGCAACTTATTAAGGTAATACGCATCGTATCTATATATAATTTATGCTGTAAATGATCAAAATAATGAAAATATCTTATTAATAGTGTTCTCTGTGTATTTGTTCATATTCATCCAAATCTCTTTCAACCAAATCTCAATTAATATCTCCATGGTGCTACTAAAATCATAGAGCTTTATTTTCTTTTTTCTTTCTGTGACTCTGAAGCACCCAAAAATCTTTACATTTTCTGTGACAGCCCAGATTTAGGTGTACCTCATTTAATTTCCTACTTAACAGTACTGCTTAGACACCCCTATTTTTTCCCAGTGCAGCCACTCACAGTTGCATTGGTTTGCAGGAGCTGCCAGTAACATTTACGCCGCTGGGAGTGTGTGTGCTCAAACATTTTCCCACACTGACCGGGGCACTGCAGAGGTATATGTATACGTAGCTATAGCTATAAATTGCACCAGGACCTTTACTCACCGCGCCTGTGTGCGTGGAGTGTTTGCCTGTGTGTGGGTCAATATTTTTTCATGTTAATTCAACTTGCATGGGTGCGCCACACGGGGGGCGAATGTGTGATGGTGATGAGGCGAGTCCTGGGTTCGGACCCCTGGAATGTAAATCAAGGCGGTCCCCCAGTCCGGATCAGATTCCGCAACCGAATCCCAATCCGAATCTCGAGACTCCTGCTCTCTTTCGCTTTCGCTTTAACTTTTGCCCCATGGACCGTAAAAAGTTTTAATGGAAATGCTTGAAATTAAGTGATCAATTAACATTAATTGCCGCATGCAGGGCGAAACTTCATAAAAACGCCCGGTCCTAGGTGATTAGATTAAAGACAAAGGATTGACCCTTTGGAAATCAAAAGTTTCCATGGCCTGCGAGCCCAAACATATAACACTAAAGCCAACGATGAGCGTTACGATGTTACCGGCTAAATTGCCAATTAAGATTTCCAGCGATACTAGCCGTGCAAAACTGAAAAGACCGAGAAGATGGCCAACTGGAAATTAGTAAGTCATTAAAGGGCAAGAGGAGAGAGCATCCTTAAAGTCCTGAAAGGGGGCGCAAAAGGTGCGTGGCCGTTGTGGGAGACAGAGCAGCTGACAGGCTGACGTTTGGGTAACTAATAGGCCTTATTTGCATGTTAATTGCTCTCGACTAAGTCAACACCAACAGGAGTGGCAACAGCAACAGCAGCAGCAGCAGGGTAAACGATGGCATAAAAGTATTATAATAACAGAAGCACAATTTCCCGGGCAGCAAGAATAACGAGGAGCTGAGGAAAAACACCGACAGACTGAGGAGCTGGGAAACAAACTCACGTTTTGCATTAATTTTCAGCGCAGCAGCGGCGGAAAAGTGTCGCCCAAAAGTAGGCAACACTCCTCTAATGAACCCATTAAAATTTACCAACCCAATAAAATTATGCTGCCATTTTTCGGCAGCACCAACGTATATATATGTATATGTGTTACCAAAACCACCACATTGTAACCCAGCATTGATGTCTCTTTGTCTCTTTGGCTGATAAATCGCTGGCATCACACTCCCTGATTTTGGCCATAATTGTTTGTACTTCGCTTTCGCAGCACACATGCTGCGCGAGTCTCGTATTTCACAGCCAGCCCGCAAACTATTTGCCTAATGACAACACATAAAGCAGCGTGCCACATTCTCCACAAACCCAAATAAATAAATACTTTTTCCCCTCTTCCGCCTTCGTTTGCCATTTATTTTAATTTCATTTTTAGAATCTGCATATATGCATTTCGCTGTGCTCTGTGGTTTTTTTTCCCGGGGACCGGCAAAGCGGATATAACAATTTCTCCAACTAACGCCATCAGCAGATAAACTAGCAAACGAAACTTTGGCATACATGTATGCGAAATTATGCAAAACTTGTGGCCAAGCTTAGCCAAAGCCGTATATTTACCATCGCCGAATATAAATAAAGTCCGCGTTCTTGAACTAAAATGTATTAAATAAATGTATTTTTTTAGATTTGCATTGAAACCCAAACGTAGAATGATAGTCTGAAAAATATAGATTGGTTATAAAAAATACTATGAAAAACATTTTGACCTAGAAAATTTAAACACTCTAAAAAAACAAAAAACGAAAAAGTAGAGGTTACAAATTTTGTAATACATTTCTAATATAATTTTTTGATATTATTTTTCAAAAGTTTGCTATTTTTTACTCGCGTTTGGAAGGGGTCAAATGTAATTTTAGACCATTAGTTTGTTTGACAGTATTGCATTGAAGACCAAAGGCAAAAAGATAGTCCAAAAAATGTACATTGGTTATAAAAAATACTATTAAAAGCACTTTGACTTACAAAATGTAAAAAATCAATTAAAAAAGCCAGAAAAAAACGGTCTAAAATATTTGCAATACATTTTTAATATGATATTTAAATATTATTTTTCAAAGGAACGTTCTTTTTCAAACGCATTTGGAAGAGGTCAAATGTCATTTAGTTTTTCAAAATGTTTTTGCTTAGAGTCCTATAAATATTACGTTCTCCCAAATATGCAATCCTTGCACCCACCCTACTATACACAAAAAAAATCGATTTATTTTGAAAACCCCTCTCATTTGGTGACAAAACCAAAGCCTGTGTAATTAGTAAATTATACTCAAAACCCACGAACAAATGCCATAATGTTCTCCAATTTAATTACTCATTATGATAATGCCGAGTCCCTTAATCTAATTAGATAACTTTGACAACTGAATGAAAACGCATATGCAATTACGGCAAATCTGAAGCGAAAAAACAAAACAAATTAATTGAGCTGAAAAGGCTAACCATTTTGTTAAATCGATCAAAGTTAATTGAAGTCAGTTGGCGGCGCATTTGCATGTCATACATATTTAACAAACGGAAAAACACTCGGCATAACTGAGTGCAACATCGGTGGAAATTAGCATAATGTCAACGCACACGCAACTTTCAACAATCAAAGAATTACCCCTCGTGTTGCCTAGCAATTCGCGCATAGTTATGGAAATGCACGATTAACAGTCGAAGAAAAACAAGTTCATGAAACTTGAAAACATAATTGGAGCCTCAATTTGCGGCACACGCAAGGTAAAAACAATTGCCGGGCTGTAAAGATTGAACGAGCAATACGACCATACGATCGACTTCAACACATCATATAAATAAACCATTAATTCCCGATGAAATGGAGAACCCTTTGCCACGTGCCAGGAAAATGCGAAGAGGGAAAAAGAACCCAAATCACATGCAATAAAAAGTGTAATTTGTATAGTTAATATGTAAGCGAGGTGTGAAAGCCCATAAAATCAGGGATGCAGGGATGCCACGTGCAAAACTCGGGGAGTTACACACATAACTGCTCAGCGAGCAGCTCTGGATGCTAACTATGAAATAGTCATAGTCAAGTTTATCCTTATCTTTTACCGCAGGCCATGCCCATAAATTCACAAGTGCGCCCATTAACGCCCGAGTCCTGGCCAAAGTCCTTAAAGCATAAAAGCCGCGTCCATAAATTTGCCTGCCTAATACAATGTCGCCTCGGCCAGCGAGCATAATGGCCTAAGTAAGCGGTTAACACTTGCGGAATGGCGGAAAACTCCTGGAGGAAAGCCCAGACAATGGCTTTTCTCGGTCTCAGCCGCAACTGCGGAAGACTCCATTAAATTGTCAATTGTAAAGGAGCAGCGGTGAAATGAAATTGAAACGAAAAAAAATACGTATATATATCTTTATAGTGCGGAGATGTATATATTCGCATA